ATATATATATATATATATATATATATATATATATATATATATATATATATATATATATATATATATATATATATATATATATATATATATATATATATATATATATATATATATATATATATATATATATATAATATGTGCTATGTTTTATCGCTTTAAAACACTTGTAAAAATGAGCAAAAAATGTCTTCCTCCCTTTAGTCAGTAAATGGCAGGTAAAGTGAGCCTAAATTTGGACAGAAACACATGGTTTAACAGCTATTAAAATGAATAAAATATACGCTTTTACATATAAAATTTCAAGATAAGTGGATATGTAGTTTCTGCCCATTTTTAGGATTTTCATAAGTATGAGACAAGTCGTTTTCACAATTAAACAAATAACGTGAAGAATAGAGATCGAACTAGGATTTGAAGTGTGATCAAAATCAGATTTCTGAATTGGTATTGGTGGTGCTCGATAGATGGCGTTCGAATCACAAATCTCATATACGCACACATAACCTAAGAAGAGAGATGTTATTCTTTGACATCACGCTCTGACGATAACAGAAAAACGTAAATTCATATAAATTGTCATTAAAATTGCATGAAGAATGGAGCATTCTTTATGTAAAATTGATATAACTTACCATGCAAACTGCGAGAACGGTATCATGGAACAAAAGCGACATCTCGATCGAACTAATTCAGATGACCACTTTTGAACACGCTTTTATGACCTCGTCCATATAAATTCGGTCTCTTTAGTCTCTATCCTCCATGACAAATAACGAAATATGCAGCACAAATGTCGTCAAAACATCACTTTTCCACGTCTATAAGTTCAGTCATTTATCGTGGCGAAGCGCTATAATGCACACACACAAACATGAACCCATATGTATATGTGCTCGATTTCGGCGTGCCAAAAGCATATGAAAATAATAAATGGGCTCGTGTGTGTGGCTACCAGTTTCGCCAGGTCGCCGTCTGATTCTATGTCGCTGGTTGAGTAATCAGGAACTTTAACAGTCAAAGCTAGATCTTTAATACTTAAATAATTCAATCTGAATTACTATATACTGTATATATGTACATACATATATACAGCCATGTGCAAAAGTATTAGACACTTACAATTTTCTCACATTTTACGAAAAGTTAAATATCTCGGTGAAAAGAAATCTCAGAGAGGTTTTCGACCACGCATTTTATAAAGCATAAAGATGGGGCTTTAAATCTTTTGTCTAAATTTTGTTTATAAATGACATAAAATTGAAAAATGATATCTGCAATATTTTTTGTCTAATTTCAAAGCGCTACAATTCAATAAAACAGCAAATAAAAAGCATTCATGGAACTCATTGAGCATTTATGGAATGAGGTGAAAAGAAGATTAAGAAATACAGTTATTATTTAGATTTACTTTCGAAATAAACGTTGAAACGAAATATTAATGAAATATAGCAATCAATAGACGCAAAATGTTATTTCGAAGTTAGTCAATTTAATGTCTTGAGCTATAATAAAAGCAAAAGGCAGATCAACTTCTTATTAAAACTGTGAATTATTCAATTTATAACTATTAAATGTACCGTTCGAATACTTTTGTGAACTATTTATGGTGCGTGTTTACAATAAATGTATTATAAAAACTGTATGCATTGTTAAATTATTTTGTAATATCACTTATATAACCTTAAAACCTTCTCTATCCCTTGTATATACTTGTGTAATCTTAAGATCTATCCCTTGTATACATATATACCATTTTAAACGCTTCAATTTAATAAACATATTTTGAATGTTAAAAATGTTCAAATACTTTTGTGTATGAGTTTGTATATTTTATCTTTCACATTTTAACCATTAATTGATTTGATTAAAAATGAAAATGCGGTGCATGCGTATTTCATATTTATGTAGTAATTAATATATTTAGTGATATTTTACAGTATTGAAAATCCTACATGTAAAATATTTTTTATTCATTTATATTCGTCATACATTTTGTTAAAATGTCATTAAAATGAATACAACACAGAAGCAAAAGGAAATAATGCTTCAATGAATGAAATTGCCTCCTGGGAATTTAAAAATAAAAATTATGTAGAAAGTGTTTTAAAAAAAAAATTTGTTATTTTTGAAGTAAGAAATTTATTTTAAAGCAAAGAATTTTTGTTTTATGTAGCAAAACTTTTTTTGTTAATAACTTTTTAATGAGTAACGAGCGACAGCTGAAACCTGTTGGAAGCAGAGTTGGGTAATCTATGCGACAATAAGGTACTCATACTTTTACGTTACAACTTTTTTTAACTTAGTTGGATTAAAATGAAAAATTTTCTACTTATAATTTTGAATAATTTAAATAACATTTATGATTCATTTTTAAAAAAATCTTTTTTTATTCAATTAAATTGAAAAACTGCATTTCATATTCAGAATATTGAATTGAGCAGTATTCACGTTGCACAGAAATTACTGATATTATTTTTTAATTTAACCGAATTAAAAAAACTGTACTTCCTATTCACACTTCTGAATTGAGTAGTATTCACGATGCACAGAAAATGCTAATATTATTTTTAGATTGAAAGGGATAGAAATATGCTCTATGCAATTCCAATAAATGAATAGAAATGCATTCGGAATTGAAAAAGATCATTTTAACATTCATGAATCCGTATTTCTGAAAATCTGAATCCATTTTAATTCATTTCAATCTATTCTCGTTTGCTGAGAAATAAATTATACCACAAAATACTGCGATGATTCGTTTGATAGTAAAAAATTCGAGGGGATAACTATATTAGCTGAAATATTGTCCATG